GGAGAGGGCTAACAGGTTTAATCAGGGATGAGGCCCACCATTTGGCTTGTGCCGGTGCTCTGGGGTTGCGTGTTCTAATCCCAGTTGATTGGGATGTGCACTAATCTTTCTCTCTCTCTCTCCTTTTCTAGTGTGTGTTGTATCTTGCCCTCCTGGGTTGTACTATCCTTTCTACCTTTTCAATACATCAAGACACAAGCCTTTTGCATTTTCTCTGAAGCAAAACATTCTGGAGAGGGTACATATACATCACAATGAGATACGTTCATGAAAAAAATGTTGGATCTATTGCATGTTTACCTTTGCTCAGTCCAGATCAAGCAAGCATTTTTCTTTTTGCAAATTATCCTGCTTATTGATGCCAACCTAGCACATTAAGGTAGAATTGATGAATACAAATGTTATTGAGAGATCAATACAGAATTTAGTTCACAAAGTGTACCTGGTACATGATTCACCTGAACAAAGGGTGCTCTTTTATGTCCAGCAAAATGCAAATCATCAACATAATCATTTCAACCAGCAATCCAGTATTACTAAAGGTGATGCAAATCAATGAGCAGCTCCCTTCAATACATGAATGGACAATGGAACATCACCAATAGTCACCACATGAGCATGTTCCCTTGTCAAAATGATGAAAGCGATTGATGTCTCTCACAATAATTTCTTGTTTGACTATTTTGGATATCACCTTAAATATGGCATGGCAATCCAAGCAGGAGCGCAAATTCTTCATTATCCGAATTGGATGTCCAGGCGGTGTCATCACAAGCCCATATGCTAAAGCCAATCTCTCACTATGCACCCACAGCATGCGAGCCTTTTGTTCCTCATCTACGTCATGCAACACTACGTTAGTATCAGGAACATAACCTGTCCTATGGGTTTTCAGGTTTAGCCATTCTAGCATAGCATGTATCACTCGCATATCTGGATGGTCTTCCAACCCTACTGAAAAGGCATGAACTTCACCCTTCATCTCAACCCAACTAAGACCAGTCTCCTTCCTTACACCTATATTCCTCATTGATTTCCTCAAAAGAGCAACTTCATCCAAATTTCCAGCTGCAGAATACATGTTTGATAGCAAGACATAAGTTGTCTCGTCTTGTGGTTCAATCTCAAGCACCTTCTCTGCAGAAAATCTCCCCAGATCCACATTTTTATGCACTATGCAGGAGCTAAGCAATGCACGCCAAACCATAGCAGATGGTGCTTTAGGGATATCTCCAATAAAGTTCAGAGCATCATGCAGACGGCCAGCACGTCCTAGAAGTCTAACAATGCAAGTGTAATGCTCCATGGATGGCTTGATGCCATGATCAAGCTTCATAGAATTAAACAGAGAGAGTCCTTGGCTCACTAAACCCGTGCTACCATAGACAGACAGGAGAGCAACAAAAGTGATATCGTTAGCTTGAATACCATTTTTGTTCATCCTGTCAAAAAGTTCTCGGGCCTGTGCAGCATGTCCATGAACAGCATATCCTGAGATTATGGCATTCCATGAAATTAAATCATGTTCTTTCTGAGTTTCAAATATCTTGCGAGCATCCCTGATGCATCCACACTTTGCATATGAGTCAATAAGTGAATTGCTTACAATGGTGTCACTGTTGAATGTGGATTTCTCAACCAAACAGTGAACCTGGCCAACATGATTGATGGATGCTGTGCTTGCGCAAGCCCGGAGCACGCTTGAGTATGTAACTTGAGTTGAAGGTGCTGTAGCAGCACGCATTTCACGGAATACAGTCAAAGCATCTTCTCCAAAACCAGACTGGCTGTAACCAACAATAATTGTGTTCCAGCTCACCTCGTTGGCATCCCGCAATGATGAGAAGATCTTGAGTGAGCTTTCCATGTCGCTGCACTTGGCATAGAGATCCATTAGTGCATTTCCAACAAATAACTCAGACTCATGACCAATCTTTATAGCATTGCTATGAATTTGCTCGCCTAGGTCCAAGAGGGGCATATTAGCACAAGCTTGCAGAACACTTGATAGACTAAATTCATTAGGCACCACAGAAGACCGCATCATTTTGATGAACAGCTCGAAGGCCTGCTCGTTCTGATTGCTCTGTGCGTACAGGGATATCATAAAACTCCAAAGTATCACATCACCATGGGGAACCATCTCGAAAGCCAAGCGGGCATCCTCAATACCCCCGCATTTGGCATACATATCAAGCAGCGCACCACAAACGTGAGGCTCAGCATCATAAAGCGTTTTTACTGAACAGGCATGGATACCTTTGCCTAGCGCAACCGACGACAAGCACACGGCAGCCCTGAGCACACTGGTCAGTGCAAAGGGGTTGATCTTAGAAACCGCCACCCTCATCTCCCGGAAAACCTGAAGCGCGTCTTCCGGGCGGTTATTCTCAGAATAGCAAGAAACCATAGCAGTCCAAGCAACGGCATCCTTACCCACGATCCGATCAAACAGGCGCCTTGCATCACCGACAACCCCGCACATGGAGTAGGCGTCGATCAGCGCAGACCCGACAAAGGCGTTCCGGTCATGGCCCAGCTTGCACGCGCAAGCGTGCACGCCCCAGGCGAGCCCCAGAGCGTCCATGGCAACAACCAGCTTCAGCACCGAGGTGAGCACGAACTGGTTCACCTCGTGCCCCTCCCGCCGCAGCTTCCGGAACAGCGCCGTCGCCGGCTCAAACTCCCCCCGCAGCGCGTGGGCCTGGAGGAGCGTGACGAAAGACACCATGTTCCGCTCCGGCAGCCCGTCGAACACCCTGCGCGCGCCGGCGAAGGGCCCGAGCTTGGCGTACAGGTTGATCAGGACGTTGGCGCAGAAGAGGTCGAGGCCGCCGCCCCGCACGACGTGGCCGTGCACGGCGCGGCCGCCGCGGGCGTCGCCGCGCGCGACGCAGCCCTGCAGCAGCCTGGCGCACGCGTGCGCGTCGACCCCGGGTCCGCGCCCGGGTTCGGGGAGGGCGAGCGAGGTGAGCTCGTCGTCGAGCCACTGCAGCGCCGCGTTGGCCGCGAGGGCGCGGCGGGGCGGGCGCGTGTGGTGAGAGACGGCCGGGAGGAGGCGGCAGCTCGCACGCCGGATCATCGGCCGTGGCGGGACTGGCGGGCGGCAGCGGCAGCGCACCGACAGGATTTTTTGGTCTCAGTTTTTTTTGGGCCCCCGTCTACAGAATTAGGGCCGCGGAAGTGGATGCAGCCCACGCGAGGCTGGTGCTGGAGACCGGCTAGGCGAATGGCAACAAACCCGCTGATGTTTAGTCCCACCTCGGCTATCTCAGCGAGTTCGACCCAGCTTATAAACCCGGCCGCGACAGCCAGACCTGTCCCTTCGGGGACATCCGATAAAATTGGAACGATACAGAGAAGATTAGCATGGCCCCTGCGCAAGGATGACACGCACAAATCGAGAAATGGTCCAAATTTTTTTGAGGTTTCGCGCGCAGGTCACTTTTCTTCTCGCATATATGCCCCTGGTACCTTACTTCCACGCCCTCGCTTCTTTGTGAACGCTTACAGGTAGGTCCTTACTTCTATTTGTAGCAGCCCTATTGGTGCTGGAGCTCCACTTACGAACTGGCCCTCCAACTTTCCTTTTAACACATATATACAGTCCTCTTGGCAATCCTGTTAGACGTTGGGCATAACTGTGGTGAAATTCTGTGAAACAACTTTGCAGCTCCCTTATGCAGCTTATTGTCGGTTTCCTGTAACTTTTTTTAAAACACTATACTAGACTTTTTTACGAGCAACGATTGAGAAATAAAAATACCCTAACACCATTTTTGATATACAACGAGACATATTTTCGGATCATTTTTTGCTGCTAACATACACCCGTGTATATTGACGATCCATGTTATTTCGTTCGATTAAGAGCATATTTGAAGAAGAAGAAATGTGCCATTGTTGACTACAAACTGATACTCCAGCACAATTTCCTCATGTAATTGTACCAGTTAAATGTACAGAGGGCGCGAACTTGCATTTTACTAGATAACGTCAGAAAGACAATTTTTTTGATAGATGCACGAATAACCACCAAAAGAGGAGATTACCAGCCAAAAGAGGTTCGTGACGCTGTGTAACCAGCCGGCATTCTTGAGATATAGTTTCCTTTGTTTGCACTGCGGCTTCTCCCAAAGACTTGCTATGCTAAGGAAGCGGCTGCGATGAAACTTAGTTGTTTACGTCAAAAATGAATGTTAAGCAGTTGTTTGGCAACATAGTTGTGGAAACAACTGCAAAGTTGGCGAGAAGCCGGAAATGCCCCAAAGAACGCCCACATCCACCTCCCACCAATGCGCCCTCCCCTGTTCCTCCTGCGCAACCCGCACCTCGGTCAACTCCGCCTCACACTTCATCGGCGCCAAGTGCGTTGCCCCTACCAAAAGTTGGTTCCTAAAGCCCAAACAAACAAGACCAAAGATGCATGTGTTAAGAGTTTATACATGCACTCCAATCTGATGAATCCTGATCTTGTAAAACTCTCGCATACTCTGCATATATAAATACAATGACGTGGCCTCCCTGAAAGGTAAAGACGCTTACCCACCTTCCTTCTCAATTCACAGAGTGCTCAAGAGGTCTTCTGAAAATTCTATGAATCAAAGAGCGAGATGTCTATGTACTTGCGGGAGAAAACAAAAATCATCCTAAATTGAGCAGAAGAACTAACCAAATATGAACATATAGCACGAAGAAATTACTAGGACCCGATGCTGGAAAGGACAAGATCCAGATTCTCATCTCGAACCAAAATCCACAGCGTCTCTTTACGGCCATTCATGCTCCCTCTTCGATCCCGCCACTAGAACAACGCGAAAGAGCCAGCGGCGAGGTGTCCCTGTGGATCCCGGGCTTCTTGCTCGAGCTGGACGGCGCGCTGATTTGACTGCCTGAGGACTGCTGAGCCGACGATCCCGACCCTGACATGTAGCTGCTGCTGAAGCTCCTGACCTGCCATTCCGGGACGTAGCTAGGCCTCATGGTACTGTCCACGTCGGTCACCTCGTTGTCTTCCGTGAGCATGGACACGACCTTGGACATCGGTGGGCGTCGCTGAGGCAGGCCCATGGTGCAAAGAAGAGCAACATTGATGAGTCGCGCAGCTTCTTCCTCGTCGCGAATTCAATGAGTTTACTATCCAGCAGTTCAAGTGTCCGTTGGCTCTCGTGCAGATACCAGGCCTGCAAGTTGTGGTGAGCTTAATTTCCTTGGTATGCTGAATAAAATGAAGTTGATGGTTTATTTTGAGGTCAGGATAAGTATGTGAAAGCTTACACATCCAAGAAGATACTTCTCATCTTCCTCGAGACTGTCATCGAAGTTCCGGCGTCCAGCGAGGATCTCCAGTGCCACGACCCCGAATGCGAAAACGTCGGCCTTCTCTGTCAGGTGTCCCATCATGGCGTACTCGGGTGCAAGATAACCACTAACATCAGAGAACACCGTGAGCGTCGGATCGACTCTCTGTTATGAATCAAGGTGCATGAAACGATTAAGACGGACAGCAAATGTTCTTACAGCGTGCCAGCGACTCCGGTGTTGAGATGCGTCATGCTGTCCTTGTAATGCCTAGCCAGCCCGAAGTCAGAGATCTTAGGGTTGAGATCAGCATCGAGCAAGACATTGCTGGCTTTGATGTCCCTGTGGACTATCCGCATGCTGGACTCCTCATGGAGGTATGCGAGACCTCTTGCAATGCCTATGCATATCTCGAAGCGCGTTCTCCAATCTAGGTTCAAGTCTGTCTTGCCTGTGTTTTCACCAAAGATTTAGACACTTGGAAGGATACTTTTGATGGTGATGATTTAACAACAGACATTTCAGGTGGACGATGAGAATGAGAGTTACCAAAAATTGCTTGATCGAGGCTCCCTTGTTCCAGATACTCATAGACCAAAAGTGGTGTCTTACTGTCGATGCAACAACCGTGCAGCTTCACGAGGTTTCGATGCTGCACCGCAGATATGGTTGCAATTTCTGTCATGAACTCTTTTTTCCCTTGATGAGATGTAGAAGACAGCTGCTTTACAGCTACAATCCTCCCATCAAGTAGCTTACCCTGTACAAAAAAGATACAACTCATGATTTCGGCGTGAAACAAGTACAATATGTTCAGTACATTGTGTATAGCAACGATCTACAATGAAATCTAGAGCTGCTTAATCTTGTTGGAAATGTAACCAACCTTGTAAACAGGTCCATATCCCCCTCTTCCGAGAATGTTGCTATCACTAAAACTGTCAGTAGCAGACTTCATTTCACCGTAACTGAAGATGTTAGGCCTTCCAACTATACTGAACAGCTCTGTAAAATGAAGCACGTGTCAATTTATCCCCATGATTAACACTCCAATTTTAGTGGTTTGTGTTACCTTCCATTTCCACCTCTAGCCTTCTTCTTTTCTGCCTCCAAACAATGGCCCCAGCGAGTGCTAGAAATCCTAAAATCGCAACACAGACTACAACTCCAACAACCAAACCTGTTCTACTGCTAGTGCTGTTTCTCTGTGAACCAGGATCCCCTTCACCGTTGCTATCTACAGTAGGAGTAAGATAATAGAAAGTGGACTGTTGTCATATGATTTATGTAACTAATTGATAGCACAAGTAACAGTACCATAAGAAGATACGCTTAATGCTGATATCGATGGCCCATAGAACCCTTGTTCAGGAATGCAACAAGTGCCCTTTCCAGCCCAAAAGAGATGAATATCAATGACATTATTCGTTACTTCAACAGTGTACTGTCTTTGAACAGCAGTATAAGATTTTCCATTTGTTTGCTTCTTTATATCGAAATCTGTTTCTTTAAGATCTCCCTGCACCAGGGAAGCAAGCAAAATATATTAAAATCCACAGAGAAAATTGGAATATTCTGGAATCGGTTTAGTGCATAAAACAAATGAGAATCATTGCAAAATATTATCATTTGCTTATATATTCAAGAATGAGCCACCTGGATATATATATTGAAAATCCTCTTTCCCACGCTTTTCCATGTCTGGTCATCTGGGAAAAAAATCTCTGCAAATTGAAGTACAACGCTGTACATGCCATTCTTGAGCCCAATGCCGAAGTATCTCAATGAAGAGGGTGACATTCTGGCTGTCTGAAATAGTTCAGAATCAAGTGTGTTGGTAAACCGGCGAGAAGTGTATATTATATAACTCCCATTAGCCGAGTCCATGAATCTCCCGATGTTGCTAACGCCCCATCTCGTTGAGTTCGTAACATAGTATGATGCAACTGGAAGACTAGCATCATCAGGTTCGTAAATGGAGTTGTCTGAGCCTCTGATGGGTCTCGAACCACCAGAGTCTACCGCAAAGGAAGACTCTACAGATTAGGAGAAATAAATAAGTGATACAGATTTTAGTGAAACTGCTAAGGATTGAGAGATAAGGACTCACGATGTGGAGAACCAATAAAACATGGAGTATCTCGCTGAAGACAATTTAGTCCTGAAGGCAAAATACTAGGAACAAAACAGACCGTTCAATCACATGGTGAATAAAGTGTTCTGTAGATATGATGGGCAACTAAATGAAGCAATAGAAAAAAAAACCTGTTGTTCGAGTTATCTATCCCAAAGTTGTTCCACACCAAATTCCTAAAAGAAATGCCATTCAGACAGTTAGGTCACAAACTGTCATGTTCATGAAAGTTTGTGGTTCACATTCCAGATTGAAAATGCAACAGGCATGCGTTGATTTGTGTGCCTTCTAAATGGGAATTTGAAGAGAAAAACCTACACTTGTAAATTATTCATGTTGACCCAGGAAGGGTATCTTCCTGAGAGCCTATTGTATGACAAGTCACTGCAAAGATAGATGGCACACATGTTGATCAAAAGGAAGAAGAAAAAAAGAAGACCAGGACACATCCAATCTTTCAAGTTGGACATATTTGCGGACATACATGCTGTCAGTATGAAACAGAAAAAAAAATGAAGGAAGGAAACAGCTCACATAGTAGTAAGTGAAGGGCTAATCAAATCTGGTAAGCTCCCAGAGAGGTTATTGCTCCCAAGAAATCTGATTCATATGAAGTTTAGTTTGGGAAAAATGGAAATAATATTTTAAATAGGACTGTAGAAAACATTAGATTCTATACATATATCCTTACAGGAAAACGAGGTTATTCAGGTTCAGAAGGGTTGGAGAAACTTTGCCTGTGATGCTGTTAAAACTCAAGTCCCTGATTCAACCAGAACGTACAAAGACCTTTTAAAACAAACATACATTACTCTAAGCTATACAGTAGATGTTCTAAAAAAAACTACAGAGTAGATTCCAAACAGTTCCTCGGTAATGTTAAACTCGTAAGTTTTGTCCAAAATTGCTTACAGATAATTGAGGTTAGAAATTTTGAGAAGTCCACTGAAGCAAGATTGTCAGATATCCTGGAGTTTCTCAGAACTCTGTAGGAAGAGAATAAAGAGGTTTAGGATTTTCTCAGATATGCTTAGATATACAAAGTTGTGAAGTGCAAACTAATAAAAAGTTGTTAAATAACAAACTATGTCACCATACAGAGTACTCAGCGATGTCATGTTAGCCACAAAAGCCAATGAAGACACCTCTCCCGTTAAATCACCTATTCGCCTTTACAATATAAAAGTTAGTGAAGAACAAGCCCGATTTTTGCACTAAGTGCACAATAGCTGTCACCAAATCTGAAGTAGGAAGGACATACAAATTTGCCAAGTTGATAAGGTTAGAAAAACCCGGTGGAATGGGACCGTCAAAGTTATTTCCATGGAGTCTCCTGCATTGATACGTACATCTAAGTAGCAGAGAAAAGAATCAACTCCTTCACAATTTTCAAAAGCGGACTCTAAAATGTGATAAATAGGAAGTGGAATGATCTTAAAAAAAAAAAAACAGTACTTCAATCCTATCATGAACATTGAAAACATATGTGGATCATTTCTTGGCCCGGTTTCATCATTTTCATCTACAAATTCTTCATGTGATGTCTTACAGATCCGTCAAATTGGATAAGCTTCCAATATAATCAGGTATCTTCCCAGTAAACTCGTTATCTGATGCCCATCTGAACAGATAAGAACGAAGTTAATACGCTGACTGTGCCTTAATGACTTTATAACAGATAGAAAGTATGATAAGAGAATTTACAGGACTTTCAGGTTCTTAAGTTTGGAAAAGGTAGATGGCAGCTCTCCACTTAAACCACAACTATCGATATACCTGAAATTGATAGAGTGAAATGGTTATGCTGAGTTTTGGTACATAGGTCTTACAAGGAAAAACAGGTTAAGCAGAACCAAGACATACAGTTGCTCAAGATTGCTCAAGTTTTCTACTACTTCAGGGAGTGGACCGACAAACTTATTTGTGCTAATGGCCCTGAAACATAAGGAAATGTGGTTCAGAAAATAAAAATATGACACAGTTGGTGCTTCCTTTACAGAGCCTATATTTTTTTATTTTTCACGCTAACTTCCAGAAGCAACAAGATTCTGAGCATCATCACAAATAAAATGAAGCAATGGATCGAAGTGACTGCAATATTTTTGTGTTGGGTTTGAATTTCCAAAATAACAAGAGATGTATTCTCTTACATCGCAACGAGATTCTCGAGGTTACCCAGCTCCCTCGGTAGAACTCCAGTTAATGCATTGGTTCCCAAAGTTCTTGCAAATTTGAAAAGAAAACAGGGCAAGTTATGCACTACACGAGATATCATGTAGTAGTACTACCATTTACATTTAAATGCTTCAGAGAAACACAAACTGTAATTCTTACAGATACTGCAACCGAGTCAACTTTCCAAGAAATGCTGGTAAAGATCCAGCTAAGTAATTCTGCGCTAAATTCCTGAAAGTGTGTCAGATAACAAATGTAAAACTAATCTTTCCAAACTTGCATCTGCAGAAACTCTTATTGGCTGGCAGGCATCAGCATTTAATTCGCATAGGCCTTGGAAATTGAAAGCAACTAAAACTACCACGCTACCAAATGATATGTAACATAAATGTTATCGCATGGACTAGCCTGGTAATATGTAACATAAAATACTCCCTCCGTTCCAAAATAGATGACCCAACTTTGTACTAACTTTGTACTAAAGTTAGTGCAAAGTTGAGTCATATATATATATATATATATATATGTCGATTGAAAATAACATGTAAATGGAGGAAAGGACATCTGAAAAGCAAACACATCAATAAAAGTGACATCTACTAAAAGTGGCAGAACTAAGCAACAACGAAATTGTATGTCTAAAACATGAATACTCTGTTGGCACCATTCTAACCTATAGCTGTATGACCCTGAGCACATAGTTCATGAAAGCAATACTCTACTTTCTCTCCCGCTCGCAAATGGCATGCAGCAGACACTAACTAGGGGAACCGCAGATTATGATTATGAGCTTGTGTAACAATTTAAGTGGACATCCATTAACTTTGAAGCATCATGGTGAAAATAGTTCATACAGGTTTGTCAGGTAAGTTAGATTTTGCAGTTCCGCAGGAATCTGACCAACCACATCTAGTGCATATACTTTCCTGCACGGACAAATGGAAGAACAATAAGTAATAGGCTAACATTGTGAAAGCATCGACTAGGATTAAGGATGTGAACATGCAACTACTCATAGCAAACAAGAATTGTGTGGTGAGTTCATAAGCATCCAGAGTTCCAGATACATTGGATCATATCCCATTTTTCAGTAAGTTTTTCAAAGAAATTAATATAGATCATAAAGAATTTCTAATGTGCAGTTGTCTTATATTGATTGCTAGAAAAATCTTGAACATTTCTTGTTGATGGTAGCCACTTCAACATATATTCCAACAATGAAGTAAGCCTCCATATAAGTGCCACTGATAGGTGGTTTCAGAATCTTTTTGGCTTGCTATTTTTAGACAAGGAACTGCATTCGTCCGATACAAGTCGTCAGCTTACAGCACAGCAGTAGTGCCGTCAGTAGTGCCGTCAGTGAGGTCCGGTCTACAAAATGCCAGCTCTAACTGACTAACTGTACTTACTATCGCTAATTACAACTTCAAGCTGAAATATAACATTTGTTTGTAGCAAACTTTCAACCGGCAAACCGAGTGTTGTTACCTGCAAGGACCAACCCGTTGCCCAGAGCGAACATGCACTCACGAATGGCACTAATGTTTCCTGGGATCGAAAGGAGAAACTTACAGCTGGGTTATGTGGCAGACGGTGCTGACGTTGTAGGAGCAGACGCACTTAATGCCCAGTTTGAGTTTGTTGTCTGAATCAATGTCGGTGTCGTCGACGGCGGCACCGCTGCAAGGCTCGCCGCTGATGTTCCACGCCGTGGACGCCCGCAGGCCCCACCGCGAGAACATGGCGTTCAGCGCGGCCACTGCGCTTGTATGCAAGAGGAGTAGTACATCTGAAGTCGATTCGAGCACGTTAAAGAGTGGAATGAAATGCTCTGCGTGTGCCACGCACCTTCGGACGGATCTGTCTGCGCCTGCCGCTGAGCCCGAGCAGAGAGCGCGAGCAGCAGCACGAGGCCGCTCAAGCAAAAAGACGGCGAAACCAGCAGCTCGTGGCGTCGCCTCATCGTTCCCCTCCCTCCTCTCGCCGCCTGACTGAGATCGATGGTGAAGGATGCCTACTGGTACTCTCCAAGGGGCGCATTGACCAGGCCATGCCTATCATTTGGTCATCGTTGGCGGCTACTTGGCAGTTTGTACTAGTACTAGTATAATTCACCCCAGAGCTGGTGGGCGAGGCGCATGTCGGCGGCAGTGCGCGTCGGACGGACGGCCCCGGTTGGTGGCTACGAGCTACCTGCAGCGGAGATCTGCCACTCGTATGCATAATTGCATATTCAACTCCGCTAGCTCGAATCTAGATCTTGACGACCCAATTTCGGTAGGTAAGGTATGGTGATGATGCGAGAGGATGGGATCGTACAGGGCGGCAGACGCGCAGGACGCCGGGGTGCGCAGCTGGAGCGACAGGGGACGTCACCGCATAGGACGACGAGATGTTGTGCCGCTGGTCGGAAGGCCGCCGCCGGCCGCCATGGGCAATCTTTTCTCCGCTCATCTTCCTGAGCCACGACAACCCAGCATTCTACGCTCGGCCCAAAAAACGGCGCGGCCTTTTTTTACTAGCTGAGCGTAGAGTTGCACGGCATCGACTAGTTAACCGGCTGAATCGTTTTCCTCCTGTCCCTGCCGCTGGAACCTAGCTGCCGCCAGGAGACCAATCTTCCAGCGCCGTCCTCCGGCGGCTCCTTTCCGCCGGCGACCTCGGTCGTCAGTGGTGAGGGGGGCCGCCGGATCCACGCGTGTGGATCGTTTTTACTCTCTCGTAATTTAGATTTTTAGGCTTTTCATCGTCTTCGTTTCGGCGGCAATGATGACAGCGCTGAATAAAGATTCTTCGGATCCTTTCTTGACAAGGCCATCGGTCCTATGGTTGGGGATGGATTTGGAAACCAGTCTGTTCAAGCAAGGATGGCGTGGCGGCGGCGGCATCCTCGTGGTGGACATGTGTCCTCGGGCTCCGCCGTTGCGACGGCGTTTGCTCCAGCGTTGACGCGGAGCTTGGGTGGTAGTCCAGGAGCGGATGCAGATTGTGGTCTGCATCAACGACATCTGGAAGACGGAACATGTGCTGGGTTCGTGGTTCGTGGATGGCAGGTATGGTTTTCTTCTGCACGTCTTAGTCGCGATGGGGTGCCAGATCTGGAGTTCGATGGCGTGTCCGGGATGTTGCCCCGGTCTGATTCGTTCAACGGTAAGGGCTTCACTTTTGGTGAGCCACCTTGGAGGTCCGCAAAGCTGCATATCAGCGATGGAGCCGCATCGAGCTCGGGTGAGGAGGTGATCCATCATTCTTTTCTTCGGTGGCTGCTGTCGTGGTGCCGGAGGCAGGTGATGGGCGTTGGTGTCAAGCTCAGAGATGTTCTGCTAGCTTTTCAGTTTTGTCATGTCGGTCCTTACGTGACTTGTACTTTAATCTTTATGATATGAATGAAACACGTATTACCATGCAAAAAAAAGAGTTGCACGGCATCCGATGCGAGTCGACCACGGGGAGAAATACTATTTTTTTTAGTCCAAACATACATGCTTTATTAAAAAAAACTATAACGTTAATGGGAATACAACTTAAATTTGGGGGATTTATGAGCCGCACATTGCGTCCTAAGAGCATCTTCAACAGCCGCGCGATATAAGCGCCACGCTGGAAAAATTCTGCTTTTCGCGTGCGCGCAGCCGCTCCAGGCGCTCCAGCGGAGGCGCAAAAAACGCGCGCGCGGCATAAGTAGTTCAGCGCACGGGACGAAACGGCATCGCGCGCCGCTTATTTCGTGTGCTCGCTTCCACGCGCTACACACACTACTAGGAGAAAATCTACTAGTAGCGCTTGAAATACCTATAGCAGTAGCGCCGGGTCCAGCGCTACTGCTAACACGCTACAGCTAAGTTGTAGCAGTAGCGCTGGTTAGTGCAATGCTGCTGTTAAGTATGGTTAGCAGTAGCGCTGCACTAACAAGCACTACTGCTAACTATCTGTAGCGTTGCAGAAAGGCAAACACTGCTGCTAATCCAGCTCTGCTGCTAGATGCCTACCAGCGTTGCTGCTAGTACTCCTGCTTTCACAGATTCATACCCCCTCTTCACGCAAAAATAAAGATTCATACACCCTCTACATATTTGTGATGTATTTGTACAGGCTCTATATAGTAGTTTCATCAGATCACAATAAACATACACTATTCTCATCATATCATACACATACAGTAGTCTCGTCATACCATCATCATCATCATAATCATAATCATTCAACACAAATATCATCGCATCTCGAAAATAGCGATACACAAGTCATGTCATGTCTGGAATAAGTGCAACTGCATGGTGATGGCACACACACAAGTTTCATCATCTCTATCTAAACCATGATGTAGAAGAGAAGAGCGATCAACATGAGCAAGACCACGACTATGTAGTACTTGAGGCACCGGCGGTCCCGCCCCCGCTCTTGCCGGAGCGTCCACCTCAAGTAACTACTTTTTGCTTCGGCTCTGATGTCGAACCCTCTGTGGCCAGCACCCGGGTACTTGTCCACCTGGGCCTGAGCGTCTGGTCAGTGGTCGTAGACTCCTGGAACCCTCCCAACGAACACGGCGTAGCAGTCCTTCGCCATCTCTGATCTATGTACCTGCATCGTCAGTTGATGAATTGAACGATAATATGCAACATAATGTACTTAAGAAAACATAGAGGCATAACTAGCAAAATACAAGCAACCTATAGTAAACATAAATGACGAAGTTCCTCATACCCAAACTAATTAACTAGAGCGATCTACGCTAGTTTAGGACCACAGTTTTATTACATCACATAGTTTCGCCGTCCATAAATTCAATGTTTTGTGATAGAAAGATAGTAGTGACACATTTTCATCGACAATCAGTCCTCCATGTTGGCGGTCCAATCTTCATAGTCAGGGAGGAATCACCCAAGCTTCTTCAAAGGCTTCAGGTCCAGATGCTGAGCGACTAGCAGTGCTCGTACATCATCCCGCATGATTGGCCCATGGTAGAACATCCCTGTTGGTTCGAGGACCTGCGTCATGATCACTTGGGCAAGTTCACACTATACATGATAAAACTCAGATCGGATTCGATGATCCGGTGTCTTTCCTATGCTTGTGGCCCAGTTGACAATCTTGGCATCGTTGGTAGTAGCTGACATGTGAAGGCGTTGATTATCCCTTCTGTACTTGAGCAGGTGATGCATGAGGTAGAATCCACCAGCCTTACTGGCATGCGGTTGCTGGATGTAGCAGAAGTTGGTCTTATGGCTGAAAACCAGCCCGTTCATCCTGTACTTTTCACCTTGATATATCCACTAGACATGCTGAAGGTTAACAGGGCACTATCGAGAACACTCTTTATGTGCTTGTAATCCTTTTTCTTGATGTTCTTCGATGAGTCCAAGTACATAACATGGGAGTATTCTGGGTACAGAACGATGAGGACGGCGCCCCCCACCCCGCCCCTACGCTGCGCAAATTAAGTACACCTCAAATTAGCCTCCATGCTTGCAAAGGAATGATTAACACTTACGAAAGGATATGCGTGGATGACTTACGTGGGATGATAAGGTAGGAGAATCGCTTCCTTGTCCTTATTAGCGATCATGAAGTCGGTGATTTACCTGCTCGCATAGTCATGGTGCTCTCTGCAGACTTCCAAGAAGCTCTCGTGCATATAGTACGGGTCCGCGAAGCAGATATATTTTATGTTCTCGATCCTGATGAAGTGTTGAGATACAACGCATACATGCAGATGAACTACAAATCCAGCTTGGTCATGTGGAACATGTCGTAGATGTAGTCAAATCGCAGGATGAACTTATCTGCGGGCCATCTCTGACGACAACTTCCCACCCGAGACCTGAGCCGTGCAAAGCGGGTATCCTGGTTTTTCTGAGATGAGAAGGCTTTTCTCTCTGGCCAGCACATCTTCATGGAGTATCCTTAGATCATTGTTCAGTATGTGCTCTAGCGCTTTCGCAGGTAGGATCGGTTCGCCGTGACATGGAAATGAAGGAAATATGCCCTAGAGGCAATAATAAAGTTATTATTTATTTCCTTATTTCATGATAAATGTTTATTATTCATGCTAGAACTGTATTAACCGGAAACTTAGTACATGTGTGAATACATAGACAAAACACATTGTCCCTAGTATGCCTCTACTTGACTAGCTCGTTAATCAAAGATGGTTATGTTTCCTAACCATAGACATGTGTTGTCATTTGATGAATGGGATCACATCTCTAGGAGAATGATGTGATGGACATGACCCATCCGTTAGCTTAGCATTATGATCGTTACAGTTTCATTGGTACTGCTTTCTTCATGACTTATACATGTTCCTCAAACTATGAGATTATGCAACTCCCGAATATCGGAGGAACACTTTATGTGCTACCAAACTTCACAACGTAAATGGGTGATTATAAAGGTGCTCTACAGGTGTCTTCGAAGGTGTTTGTTGGGTTGGCATAGATCGAGATTAGGATTTTTGACTTCGTGTTTCGGAGAGGTATCTCTAGGCCCTCTCGGTAATGCTCATCACTACAAGCCTAGCAAGCATTGTAACTAATGAGTTAGTTGTGTGATGAAGTATTACAGAACGAGTAAATAGACTTGCCGGTAACGAGATTGAACTAGGTATGATGATACCGGCAATCAAATCTCGGGCAAGTAACATACCGATGACAAAGGGAACAACGTATGTTGTTATGCGGTTTGACCGATAAAGATCTTCGTAGAATATGTAGGAGACAATATGAGCATCCAAGTTTCGCTA